AATCGATTTAGAATTGCGGGCTAAAACGTAGACGAAAAATTTTTCACTTTTCTGCCATTTATAAAGAAACGGCTTGGCCGATCGTCGCACAAAACTGACAAACAATAGTTCTCGTCGAGATACATCGAATGGCTTTTAAATTTTTGAAATCGACCCAGCCGACGTTTTCGAGAAAACGTCGATTTACGGCAAAAAATCTGTTCACATACACACACACACACACACACACATACTTTTTCCAAATTTGGTCTCATTCGATTCAGAATGGCTTGAAACGTCGAGAAAACATAAAATTAGCGAATCGGATTTTTTTATGAAAACATAAAGTTCTCCTTCGGGAAGTTAATTAAACAATGGACGGTGGCTAATACGTCAAATGTCAAAGGTTAGGATGTTACAAAATTGAATCACATTTTATTCTGATACGTAATGATGCCCTTGTTCTGTTCGACATGTAATAACAGATAATCAGATCGCTTATTACAACCATATCAATCCCTTGCTCTTCCCTTATTTCCTCGCCCCGTATCAATATCGGGGTATATTTATTGGTATTGATAAAATTATCCCCGATATATCTGGTAATAAATCCAGAAAGATATCGTTTCGTTATTGTCCCTTCACTCTCGTTTGATAACTTCATTTATTTACGAGGACATCAAACGAAATAAATTCGAACTGCTAAGGCAATCAGGAAAACCAAAGAGAGATTCGTCAAAATAGATTTTAAATCTGGATAATGGAAAAGATATAAAATGGATTTGGAATGGAGTTTCTTATAAAATTTTAGCTTTTTATAAAATTAATTAAAAAAGTATTTTAGAGCTTCACCTGTAGTGGAGCTAGGAAATGCAATACCGGTATACCGGTATACCGAATTACGGGTAAACCGCCCGATTTTTTGGCGGTATTTTTACCGGTAATCATCCTAAAAATACCTGTCTTTTCGGTATTTTTATATAAGCGCTATTTGATACATAATAAACTAAAGATTAAATTTCTCAGATCAAATTTATCTTTAAATTCCGTAATCGCATAAAAAGCTATATCTTCAAGTGATTCTATAAGATAAACAAATGTCAAATATTATCTCAACTCGTCATTAAACTGAATATTTATTGCTTTCTAAATGGCTTCATAACGTGTTACAATAAATAGAATTGGACTGATAGATTATGATGTTTGCTTCATCTTATGTAAAAATGTAACGGTTTTTTAAGTGATATTTGCGCCAAAATATTTTATATCATACAGATTACCTCTGCGTAATCTTTATTTTTTCCTAACTTTGTACATAATAATTATGATAATTACTAAATATTTTTGCTTCTTATTACAATTATGAAATATTAGTTTTCGACATCGTTTCGAAGTTTAAAAATACTATAGAAGCATCACATTGTTTTAAATAACAATACTAAACAACTATAGTAACTTATTATTTATCTCGATAAAGTACCCGATCTTAAATTATATTTTTGTAGAAAAATTATTTTTTTGGAGATTATGCTAATTTAACACATCGGATACAGACAATACAGTTATTATAATAATGTAATATGATCTTTTATGAGTTTTTGGTCTTTCTTACTCATAAGTTTGTTTTTGTGAAAAGTATTCAATATACTCGATAGTGATAATGAATTAATTAAATTGGATATACTTTTGTTAAATTATTATTTAAAAAAATAAACTTATTGTTTTATTTTATTGTTTTTATTGTTTAGTTGAATATAGTTGTGGTTGTATAGACATTTCTTTTATATTTGTACTAGTAACTTTCAATTTGGTTTACGTTTGTTTAAGATAATAAAAATACCGGTAATTTATCGGTATTCCGGTTTTAAAATGAAAAATTACCGAAATACCGGTATTAAAATTTTCCATCGGTATTGCATTCCCTAGTTGGAGCTATAGGATTTCAATCATAACTTCCAGGTTTTAGATCCTGGATAATTTGTTCCAACTCCAGTAAATTCAACAGTACATTTTGTTTTGAAATTACTTACTCCTTGCAGTATATTCCTGCAGATTTTCGTCCTTTATCTATTTTAAACCTGTACCTCCTATCTAAAGTTCATCCACCCCATAGTAGTGCTCCATCTTTTAAATGTGCTATGAGGGTTGTTTTCGATCTGTAAGTATCGCCGGGTAGTTTGTTCGAACGACAAGAGTTTAGGGGAGGAGAGGAGACAACGTGTTCGGTTATGAGAAATCGAACCCCCTATTTCTGTCAAATGCTCTACAGTCAAATCAAACGCTAATTTTATAGGGGCACATCCGGGGGACGCGGGATTTAAAAAATACAGAGTCGAATTGGAAAAGTAATAGACTAAAAACAAATATTGTTTTTAACTTCCCGTAGGGTAGTTATAGTAATGGGCCGAAAATCGAAAATTTTTGCATTTCTTGACGTTTTGTAGATTTCTGAACATTTTGGCATACCTCAGAAAAAACGGATGTGTGTGTGTATGTATGTATGTATGGATACAATTTTTCGTCGACGATTTCGGGCGCACGGATCAACCGATTTTAATGCTTCAAAAAACATTCGATTCGTATTGATAAGGAGACGTGCTGATTAGTTTTTGGCAAAGGCAGGTCCAGCGGTTACGGAGATACAGAGCAAAGAGTGCAGAAAATACAAATCGAGTTTTTGAGAGAACGGAGTTTTCGATTTGAGTGATCTAAAAAACATTCAATTTGTAATGATTGGGAGAAGAGGTGATTAGTTTTTAGCAAAGGCAGGCCTAGCCATTTCGAAAATACAGAACTAAATATGCCAAAAATGGTAGTATTTGAGAGAACTAAACGTCCGATTTGAATTATCCATAGAATCCTCTCTGCTTGTTTCAACAAAATAATTGCTTTTCTTTTTTTGGAAAAAAATTGTTTTTAATTTGTATATCGAAAATAATTCAGATTTTAATTTTAATTTTGTTCTAATATACTTTAACAATTTCAACTTTGCGATTCAGTTTATATAATTCTTATAAATATATATTAGACAATGTTATAGTGTTTATAATAATCTATTTAAAGGTACGATGCCAACACCACTATTTTTTTTAATTCAAATCTTTAATTTGTAAAAATAAAGTATGGGTAGTATCAAAAAGGAGCATTAAGTATAAAAATTCTTGTGATGATATAATAATTAGCAGTGATATTTTTTAACCGAAAATAGGTAATGTTGAAAGAAAAGTTGTATCCAATCTTATTTGTATGGTATAAAAATTTAGCGTATTTAAAAATGTCGTAGAAATTTTTGGACTTTTGGAAATTTGACGAGAATGCTCCCAATTGCAAAATTTCTCTACTTCATTTTGGCAACAGCTTGTTTTAATAATTTCGTTTTAAAAATTGATTTCATACTAAATCTCTATAAATCTATTTTTTATAGTCATATCTCAGAATAAACTATACTTATAGTAATAAAATATCACATCATAACTATTAAAATAAGTCGTGATTTATCATTCAGCCCTGAATTAACCTCATAATATCGTATCTTCACTTCGCAGACATTTTAAAGGGCGCAACCATCCCTTTGGTAGTTTGGGTAATCCTCTCATGTAAATTAAGAATACGGATATATATATATATATATATATGTGTGTGTGTGTGTATTAAATGTGCACAACTGTTCCTTTAACGAATTTTTGCCACGTGTCTACGAGGAGCTTAAAGTCAATCAAAAAGCTAATTCTTTGATGTTTTGGCAGGAGCTTAGAGCTTAGCTGAAAGTTTTCGTAAACTTTCTAAATTCCCGTTCACCTTACATTATTATAACATATGTTAAATTGCTAAATAGTAATAATATTTATAAAAAGAGTAAGGATCACACGCGATTGAAGTAAAATTTATTTGCTACTGTACAAATTTGAGTTCAGTAAAAATGAATACATCATATAACAATTTTGAAATGAACCTTCATTAGAGATATGAAGTAATTGCTGAAGAATAAGTTCTATAATATTCGTTCACACAGTGGATTATGTTAAACAACGCCTAAACAAATATTGTTTTTGCAACTTCACTCATCATGTAATAATTGTGTTTGAAGAACTTCATGCAATTAAAATTAACATACATTCATTGACTGGTTGTATTTTTTTAAAAAAAATTGCGATATAATTTCATTCTTTGAACAGCTGTAATATCTATATTGTCTAAAAAATATTTTCCACTTTAATAACTTCAAAAATTTATAGAAACGACGAATAATATAGAAATAATTTCTATTCAATAAACTTACGTTTTGTACACGGCACAAATGTTTATTTTGTTTCATTATTTTCAAGGGGCATGGTAAAATATTCTTCTGATTCAGGCATTTTTCATTAAATCAAGATTAGTACTACGATGTAAATTTAAAATATTTATTTATCTATGCCGATTTCCTTGTTGATATCGGTACGCATACAACGACAGATTTCTATTCACATATACGACGTCTAATCACAATCGACCCGTATAGAAATGATTTCATCGAGAGCGAATGACGAATCATTGGCACTCGACTCGGCCGTAACGCACTTCCGTTGCATTTGTACGGATTTACACCCTAGTCGCGCCTAAAGAAGTTTTACTTCAAAAGTTTACATTCAGTATAATACTTTTATAATTTATGCTTATTCTAACTAAAGGAGTGATATTCAGAATTAAAATTTTCATTTTTGTGATTAACAAATGTAGTCGTCATTGCTCCATTCTGATGATACATAACTATGTCTAATTCATATCATTAAGAATTTCTATTAATAAATATTTTTGATACTTGTAAAACTAATAAATGTGTTTGGTTTGGCAATTTTTATTCACTACAAATAATATTATTCCAACTAGCTTAAAACACATTTTACTGAATGAAATGTTTAAAACATCAAGTGAATAGTCAATTGTTGCTCTACTTATTATTATTATAATTAAGAAACAAATAAAATTCATGAAAAATCCATCTATAGGACCTTTATTTATTTCTAATTTTTTTTTTATAGAGTCGATGTTCCTTGTCCAGTGATCAGCAGTCAGTAACTCCGACTTCAGATTTGGACGCAGGAGTTTTTGCAGCAGGAGAAACTAGTGACAGTGATTCGCCTGTGCCTCCTGAAAGACCAAGGGCTCAAGGACAAAGGTAATAATAATAATTTCATTCCATAATAATTATTTGCCAAATGACAAATAACGACAAGGTAACAGAATGCTACCTGTATTTATTTTTACGTATTATGATTTTTTTAACTATCTTTTATTATTTCCAGGCCGCCTCTCGATTTACCACCAAAGCCAGTAGAAAACGACATAGAAACAAAAGATTTACTAAAAACCAACTCGGCTGATCAAAGAAGACCGTCTTTGGACGACATAAAAAAAATCCAGGATGTCGATGGTGACCAAGAGGACGAAGGATCTTATGGGGCACCCTGTGGATTAGGATTACTTGAAAGATTACTGAGGTCGCACCCTGTTTGGTTTTTGCCTGGTATCCAAAGAGCTGGTGCTGTGCATTTGTTGCAGGGGAAAGATGAAGGGGTAAGAAGAATTAGACCGATTCTGCTGCATAACAGAAAAATGTTATGGCAAGGCCATGTTATGAAGAACTTTCCATACTAATATTGACAAAACCCGTGGGGGTGCTGTGCAGTCAGGCGAATTTCTTAGGTTGTCTGGTAGAAAACTCTACCTAGAAACCGCAAAAATGTCAAAAAAAACTTTGTTACATAACAGGGTCTTTCTGACCCAGCTTCATAACATACGAGTGACGTTTCACTTTATATGTAAAACGCCTGAATGAACATTGACATTTTGACAGTGTTCAGTATGATTCACTAGCATAATGTATGGAAGTCGGAGCGTAACATGGCCTTGCCATAACATTTTTCTGTTGTGCGGCAGAATCGGCTCTTTAATCAGTTTATTCATGATGTGTCAATTCTAATCTTTTATCATTATTTTTTTAGAATTTTGTGGTTCGTGGCTCTAGTCAACCTATGACGATGGCTGTCAGTGTGCGGCTTCCAGCAGGCAGAGGTCCTTATATTGAACATTATTTAGTAAGGGCTAGTGAAGGTCGTGTTGGTTTGGAAACATCTGCTAATAGATTCGATTCTATTCCGGAGTTGGTTGCTCATTATGCACAGTGCTGGTAAGTAAAAAATAATAATTAAATCTTGAAAACGCTACCCAAAGTTTTAATTCTAAATCTTGCATATGACATGATTCGTTTGTCATTGAAATTAGCATTTAGAAATGAATCTTCATTAGAGAAATGAAGTAATTGCTGATTAATAAATTGTATAATATTCGTTCGTACAGTGGATTATATTAAATAACGCCTAAACAAATATTGTTTTTGCAACTTCACTCATCATGTAATTGTGTTTGAAGAACTTCATGTAATTAAAATTAACATACACTCATTGACTGCTTGTATTTTTTTACTTTTTCGTCGGCGATATAATCTCATTCTTTGAACAGCTATAGGATCTGTCTTGTCTAAAAAATATTTTCCATTTTAATGACTTCAAAGATTTATAGAAACTACGAATAATATAGAAATAATTTCTAATTTTTTTATTTTTATTTACTTATATATATACATTATTTTCATATCTCAGTCAGGCAGATGTGCCTGGTATGAGAGATTATGAAAAACAGTTTTCATATAATATATACATTTCATTTGACTATAATATCTATTTCATTAATATAATATCTATATATAATTAAAAATATCTTTATATATAACTCTTCAGTCTTCTTTGTCTTAAATTTCCTTATAGTATTTCTTTATTTTTCTTTTAAATTTATCGTCATCATTGGTCATCTTAATATCGTTTGGCAATTCGTTATATATTTTGCTAGCACTCCATATGACATTTTCTCTCAAATTCTTTTTTCTATTGTGTTCAATGTGAAAATTGTTGTGTTGTCTAGTGTAGTGTTCATGTATATCTTGATTTGTGTCTATTGTTGCACTTGTTTTAATTCTGTTATATTTCATTTTGTGTATTAATTTGCATTTCTCTATTTTAATTTAATCAATAAACTTAGGTTTAGTACGCGGTCGAAATGTTTAGTTTGTTTTATTATTCTCAAGGAACAGGGTAAAATATTGTTCTGATTCAGGCATTTTTCATTAAATCAAGATTTGTACTAAAATGTACCTTTAAAATGTTTATTTATCTATGCCGATTTCCTTGTTGATACCGGTACGCATACAACGACAGATCTCTTTTAGCATACACGACTGCTAATCACAATCGACCCGTATAGAAATGATTTCATCGAGAGCGAATGACGTACAGTTCGGGCGTAACGCACTTCCGTTGCATTTGTACGGATAAACACCCTAGTCGCGCCTAAAGAAGTTTTACTTCAATAATAATTAAATCTTGAAAACGCTGCCCAAAGTTATATTTCTAAATCTACCATCTATTTTAGTGATGAGTTACCAGTGCAGTTAACCTTACCTCGAGCCCTTCGCGAAGCCAGAAACCGTCAACAATTGTCATCCTTGGCCCTTTTGGGTCAAGAATTTTGGAGGCATCCTGCTACGCCTTTATTACCACCTCCAAGGCCTTCGACTTCTGCTGATTCACTTGGTGAAAGTTCTTCTGCTTCGGATGCTGCCAGCGATTACACCAGCGACAATGGTAAGGAATCATTTGAAATTTAATCTGTAATTAGATAATTGTTTTCTCTTTTTTAAGTTGAGATAGTTGACGTTTTATTAAATGATTGATCTTCATTCCAACATGCCTTGTGTTTGAAACCAAAATTTATAGACGTCATTGGAGGCAATTGTTGTTGACGAATATTATACATTTTTTTGTCAACAGAAATATTTTTTCTTTTACCATTTTTTTAGGTAACAATAAGCACATAAACCCTCTAGAAACCAGGACACCATCACCGTTCTCTGATCCAATTGAACACCATCCTGCTCAACGAAATCAGTTAACAACTTTTAAGGGCCCTAGGGCTCCAAGACCTACGCCACCTTGCACATTAGATCTGAATAATGTGACGACAGGTGGACATAGTAATGGATTTGATAGGTAAGTAAAACATGTCATTATTGTAAGGCAAATGACTTAAGAAATTATTATTATTGTATTTTTGTGCAGAATTCCTGGACGTGTACCACCTGTTCCGCCGCCACGATGGAGCAAACCTACAACTCCTCCAGGAACTAATGATAACTCGAGAGTTCCTGTAAGTTAATAACATTTATTTTTAACATAATCAATTACAATTACAGTTTATACTAGATGACCTGACAGACGTTGCCCTGTACCCACATATACATTTTTTAAATATCCAGTACTAATATTTACCATTCAGTTGAAAATAATAATTATTGTTTTTCGAATTACTATTAACGCCAATATATGAGAGATGTTAAATGTAGAACTGCTTCAAATAAAATGATGATTCTCAATTTCCACAGCTAACACTTTAATTGTGCTTTTAACAAATTTTAGAATATGTTCAATAAAATTGTATATTAAAAATTATACACTGCAAGTTATAGAACAAATTTATTTCCAATAGCTCAATTTATTTTAATGCCAACGGTTATACAATATTTTTCGTCATACCTGTAGATGTGGATGTATAAATGAATGATTTTTTGTTTATTCACGACTAAAACATTGATTTTCCAAATTTATCACACGAAAATTCATCTGCCTTTGTGATTTATAGCATAAAATATACGTATTGGATATTGAAGTCTTTTAAAAGGTATAACAAATTCAGAAAGAATTAATATATAGCATTCGCGGTAAAGGTACAATATCACCTGGGAATTTTCTACCCAAAATATTTGCTTTAATATTGCCTATATTTTTTTTTAATTTTTTAACTGGCTTTTAGTAATTTTAATATCTAACTTACATTTTTCTCACTAATAATTCAATATACATTATTACTTAAGTTTATATTTGAAGTGAATTAATTTGTCAAATTCTGTTCTCATGTGCTCTATTCAACCTACGATCAACAAAATTATTGCACTAAATGGACAGGGAAAAGCGTGCGCCCTGTGATTTTTTTTACTGTGCTCCATTTTGCATGATATTTTGGAAATAGGCTAATCTTAATCTCAAGTTCAGAAGTGAAAACAATCATATTAAAATAATTCACTATTCCAGTTGCGAAATGTAATAAAAATCACACATAGATTCCAATTAGAATAATTTGAATTCAACAAATATAAGTACAATATAAAAAATATATCTCAAAATGGCATATTTTGCCTTTAGATATACGAGAAAAATTTGAGATTTAATAAGGGAACGCCCATTAATTTCGTGAACAATTTTTAAGGATTTTTTAAAGATTTTTTGTGTAACAAAAAATAATAAAAAGCAATAATTAGTCAGAAAAAACCCTTGAATTTCAGAGATATAATAATGAGAAATAGGTTGTTTTTTAATGGATTTTTTTTTTTCAAGAAATCATGAGTTTTTTGAAAATTGTTTGTACTGAAGCTATAGTATTTTCTAGAATCCATCAAGATCTCTTAAACCAAGTTAATTCGGATGGAATACGATTATTTTTAATTTTGGTGGAAATGACACTCATAAACTGATTCAAATGAAAAATGAAAAACATTGTATGCGTCTTTTATTTGCATGATAGCTCACTTATTTTACGTGCAGAAATACTTATTTTAAAGCTTATTTTGAGGACTATGAAACCCCATTTTCATATCCAGCGTTATTTATTAAAATATTAATTTATATAATTTTGGTCATTTCATTATTTTTATTAAAATGTATATTTCTGAAGATATTAGCAAACAACGTTTTTGTCATCATTTAGTTAAAAAATAATAATCTGTCAAATTGAATTTTAATATAGGGTATGTAATTACATTGAACTGACATTTTACAAACGTGAGACGCATGCGCAGAACTGCATCACTTGTCAGACGCATGTTGACTCTATTTTATTATATTATTTTAATTTTTGGCACATCTCAGCTGCTTTTCGGCAATAATAATGTAGACATTACACTTTCCTTATTTATAATCATGAATTTATTATATTTTAATATTGCCTTAGCCTATAAGTGAATGGAAATGTTTGGCAAATGACAGTTGTCATTTGTTTTGATGTCAAACCATGCCTTAAACTAGTGGGGTGGGTGGCATCGTGCCTTAAGGCAAATTGCTGAAACTTCCCGTACCGTAACGAAATGTTCAAGGAATATTGAATGTTTTCAAATAGATTATTATAAATATTGTAACATTGTCTAATATTTATAAGAATTATATAGACTGAATTGCAGAGTTGAAATTATTTGTTTAAAGTATATTAGAACTTTAGTCAGAATTAAAAATAAAATCTGAATTATTTTCGATATACAAAAAATTAAAAAAAAAAAAAAAAAAAAAAAAAAAATTGAACAAAATTTTTTTTCCAAAATCAATTATTTTGTTAAGACAAGCAGAAAGTTCTTTGAATCAATTGAATCGGACGCTTAGTTCTCTCAAAAACTGCCATTTTTTGTACATTTAGCTCTGTATCTCCGAAATGGCTGGGCGTGCCTTTGCGAAAAACTAATAACCCCTTCTCCCAATCATTACTAATTGAATGCTTTTTAGATCATTCAAATCGGATGCTTTGTTCTCTCAAAAACTCGAACTCTATTTTCTGCACTCTTTGCTCCTTATCTCCGTAACTGCTGGACTTGCCTTTGCCAAAAACTAATCAGCTCTTCTCCTTATCAATAGGAATCGAATGTTTTTTAAACCATTCAAATCGATTGAACCGTATGCCCGAAAACGTGGGCGAAAATTTGTATCCATACATACATACACACACACACACACACACACACACACACATCCATTTTTTCTGAAGTATGCCAAAATGTTCAGAAACCTTCAAAACGTCGAGAAATGTAAAAAATTTCAATTCCGATTTTCGGCCCATTACAATAACTTACCCTACGGGAAGTTAAAAATATTTTCAAGGGCAAACAATCATAAGCGGTTTTTTGTAATTTTTTTCATTTATTTTTACAATCTAACTATATTTCTATGAATCTAAAAATTCTAGAAAAATTCTCGAACAAACTTCAGGAAGATTCATGAAAATCCGAATTATAGTTCAGGAGGATTAACCATTCATACATAGTTACAGAAGAATTTTATATATAAGATATTATAGTATATTTTACATTTCCAGACCTTGAGCAAACGCATGTCACCCGAAGGAGAATGCTTCGCATCCACCATCAACTCCAATACATCTGGCAGCATGCGTGTTCACAAATCCAAAATCAACGCCTCTCTGATAACTTCAACGAACAATGGTATCATGTCACCAGGAACCATCAGCAATGGTGTCACTTCCCCAAATATTCTATCACCAGGAATGCTCACGTCTCCTGATTCTAACAATGGACAAGTTTCTGGTTCTACAATGAGTGGTATAAATTCTACTATCACTTCGCCTATGAGTGGGACGAGTGGCGTTACGTCTCCTATGAGTGGAGCAACATCTTATCATACGAAGAGCAGCAGTCATAATAATAATAATGGGAGCAGTGGCAGGTCGAGGAGGGGTGCTAAGGCTGCTAGGAAAGCTAGCAGACACTACCAGGTAAAGGATAATAGAATAACTAGTGGTGTATGGCATCGTGCCTTAAGGCAAATTGCTGAAACTTCCCGTACCGTAATTGAAAATACGCGAAACCGAGGTAGATGTAGGAATGGATGCAGAATTACACTGTTTTGTGGAAAATAAAGGGATTTTAGGGTCTAAAGGATATGAAAATTGTGTTTTTAGATAAAATTATTATTTTGTGGAAAATGCACTTTAGTGCAATAAACGGAGCGTTTTAGGTCTGAATTTTTTTACGGTGCTCTGAATTGGATGAAATTTTGGAATTAGGTTCATCTTACCCTCAAGTTCAAAAGTGAAAACAATTCGGGTTGCGCCATCACCCACCGGGGGGATGACACCCCCTCTCAATTGTGTAATTACATTTTTTCAAAATAACGTTGGATATGGATAGAAGAACTAATTATAAGAAAAAATGTCTTTTATAGTTTTTCAAAAAAACTAATACTTTTCAAGTTACTGGCCACTAAAGATTCATATATTTTTGGCGTTTTTCTTCGTTTTTTTGCAAATATCTCCTAAAATATACATTTTAACGAAAATCATGTAATGAACAAAATAATGTCAGTAAAAATCTTAATAAATCGGTATTACATAAAGTTTTCTAGGAAAAATATTAAAAAAGATTTGAAAGAGCAAAGTTGTTTTTTATTTCGTTCAAGATTTAATTGTTGTATTTAAAGCCATCTAGTGTCGAGGTTTTACATTTTATGCATTTCGGTGAAATTGGGTTTTATAGTGCTCAACATAAGCTTTAAAATGAGTGCTGCTACAAGTTTTTTGCGTGTAAAATGAGTGAGCTATCAAGCAAATAAGAAGCATATACGAAGTTTTTTTCTTTTAAATCACATAGTTTAATGAGCCATTTCCACCAGAATTAAAGTAATTCACATTCCATCTAGAATTCACTTTATTATAGACATCTTAGCTTAGGATTCTAGCAGATTCACTACTTTAGTACAAACTATGTTCAGAAAACTCACGATTTTATAAAAACTTTTTTTTCTAACGAACTTAATTCCAAAATTTCATTCAATTCGAAGCACAGTAAAAAAATTCAGAGGTTATACCCTTTTTTCCTTTCCGTTTACTGCACTACTTAAGAAAGTACCACGAATATCTCTAGAATCAAGCTCCAAAAAATATTTTCTAAGAATGTGTTTCTAAAAACAAAAAGTTCTTAACTAGTGGTGCCTTAAGGCAAATTACTGGAATTTTCGTGCCCTAATGAAATATTCGAAGAAATTTAAATGTTTTCAAATATATTATTATAAATACTGCAATTTTCATTATTCGTATTTTATAGACGAAGACGTTTATATATGTTTGTATGAAAAGTAAATAAATAAAACCTAATCAAGCGGAATAAGAATAGAGGATTTCTTTGTATCAATTTTCTAAGAATTTTTTAAACTGAATTGCAAAGTTCAAATTATTGACTTTAAGTATATAAGCGAGCTTTATAATTTTTGCCAGAATTAAAATCAAAATCCGAATCATTTTAGATATTTTGAAATTAAAAATTGTCTTCTTCAAAAACTAATCATTTCGTCGCACTGTCAACATAATCAAAATGTTTACTGAATCATTCGAATGAGATGATCCAATCTCTCAACTAGTGGTGTATGGCATCGTGCCTTAAGGCAAATTGCTGAAACTTCCCGTACCGTAATGGAATATTCGAGAAATTTTAAACGTTTTCAAATATATTATTACAAATACTATAACTTTCATTATTTTTGCTATCTTGTTATACCCGAGCAAATCAAATGTAAATCATAAATCAATTTATCTCCAGAGCATTAACAATCGTCCATCATTTCATTTCGAATTCAATTTCAAAAAAATAGTTGCCTAATCTACACAAAATTGAAAAAGTGCTCCCGCATAGTTACAGTCTAAACGCATTTGCAAATAATTCTGTGCCACATTTTCACTTATGCTGTGCTTAGCTTCGCGGCATTTTCACATTTTTCAATAGTTTTCACAAAATTGGAAAAGTGCTCCTTTACGTAATCAGTCTAAACGCACTTGGGTAAACATTTGTACCAGAGTGGCGCTTAGACTGTGCTTAGCCTGGGTAATTTTTCGAATTTTTAATCCAAAATTACAAAAATATTTTATGGAAAATAAAAAAGATGTAATAATTTTTTATCCTTAAAAGCAATTGTTTTGTCAATACTAGCAGAAAGTTTTTTAGATCATTCAAATCGGACGCTTAGTTCACTCAAAAACTGCAATTTTTTGCACATTTAGCTTTGTATCTTCGAAATGGCGGGACCTGTCTTTGCCAAAAGCTAATCACCTCTTCTCCCAATCATTACAAATTGAATGTTTCTGAGATCATTTAAATACGGACATACAAAACACACACACATCCATTTTTTCTGAGGTATGCCAAAATGTTCAGAAACCTTCAAAACGTCGAGAAATGTAAAAATTTTCATTTTTGATTTTCGATCCATTACTATAACTACCCTACGGGAAGTCAATGAGAATATCTGGTTACGTGTTAGGCTTTTTTAACTTCTCGAAGGATAAGTTTATGTTTTCATCAAAAAAATCGATGAAAAATTTTATGTTTTCTCGACGTTCCAAGCCATTCTGAATCGAATGAGACCAAATATGGGAAAAGTATGTGTGTTTGTGTATGTGAACAGATTTTTTGCCGTAAATCGACGTTTTCTCAAAAACAGCTGGACCGATTTCAAAAATTTAAAAGCAATTCGATGTATCTCGATGAGGATTATCGTTTGGCAGTTTTGCGCTACGATCGGCCGAGCCGTTTCTTTGTAAATCGCAGAAAAGTGAAAACAATTCATCCACGTTTTAGCCCGCAATTTTGAATCGATTCTGAGAATTCAAAAATCGTTCGAAAGATATTGGTTGGGAATCGTGCTGATTAGTTTTTGGTAGAAATCGGCCGGGCCGTTTTCTTGTAATAAAGTGTTAAAAAAATGTTTTTCGACGATTTTTATTATTATTTTTTTGACGGTAGATACCATAGTCTTATAGATCATACTTAAATGTTACGGCCCTACGACAACTGGTTTAACTTTAAAAATTCGTTCAAAGTTTGCAAAAATTGGCCGTTTTTTTTGGTATTTGCCAAAATTAGACCTTTAATCGACGTTTTCTCAAAAACGCCTGAACCGATTTTAGAAATTTAAAAGCCATTTGATGTATCTCGATGAGGATTATCGTTTGTCAGTTTTGTGCGACGATCCTCCAAGCCGTTTCTTTGTCATTTGGAAAAAGTGTTAAACGTTTTGTTCACATTTAAGCTCATACTACCGAATCGATTTTGAAAAATCAAAAACTGTTCGAAAAATATTGGTTGGGAATGATACTGATTAGTTTTAGATGAAAATTTACCGAGCCGTTTTCTTGTAATTAAATGTTGAAAAAAAAATTTAAGCCGATTTTTATGGAATTTTTTTTGGCGATATATATATCATGGTCTTATAGAACTTACTCAAATATCACGGCTTTACAACATGTAGTTTAATTTTAAAAAATCATCAAAGTTTGAGAAAATGAGTAGTTTTGTTGATATTTGTTAAAATTAAAATTAGACGATTGACTTGGTATGACGATAGAGTACTTTGGTCTTAATGAACTTACTAAACCATTAAAGTCCTACGGAAACTGGTTCAATTATGAAAATCATTGATTTTTGAAAATTTGCTTCTAAAAAATACTCCGAGTTAACGTGTTCGTTTATATCGGGAAGTTCATGTAACTTGCCTCAAGGCAAAATACCAATACCAACTAGTTTTACATTTTTCATTTCTTCAGGAAAGTGATATTTTGGAGTCACCAAGTATATACTGCAGAAGTGGTCCTGGTGATAAGGCGTCGGACTACGAAGACGTTTGGGGTCCGCATGACGCTGCCTTAATCAACGCCCAAAACAACAAGCATAGGCCTGATTTGCTCTCCGATCACACACGTAAGTTGTAAATGACAATTTATCCAAAATCTAAATCTTCATACAAATATTTTAACTAATTTTTTTTCAGCCCCAAGTTGTGTAACGTCCCTCAATGGCAACGTGCTGAGTCCTTTAGAAGCTGGCAGTACCACGACAAGTACAACCACGACAAAAACTCGATCCGAATTGGCAACGAACGAAAATCCTGCAAACGAAGCAGAACTTCCACCTGCAGCAGAATCACCGGCTGCTGGTAACGGAGGTGGAAATAGTCCTTTTTATGCAGAACCTGCTGATGCCATAATAAGACAACAGATTGTTTTGAGAAGACCTAAAGGGACTGGAATTGGATTGAGGTAATATAAACTTTGTCTGTTATTAACTTCCCGTAGGGTAAGTTATTGTAATCGCAAAAAAATCAGAAATGAAAATTTTTATATATCTTTACGTTTCAGAGGTTTCTGAACATTTTGGCATACCTTAGAAAAAATGGATGTATGTGTGTGTGTGTGTGTGTGTGTGTATGTATGTATGTAAGGATACAATTCTTCAGTCACGTTTTCGGGCGCACAGATCAATCGATTCGAATGATTTAAACAACATTCGATCCCTATTGATAAGGAGATGTGCTGATTTGTTTTCGGCAAAGGCAGGTCCAGCCGTTACGGAGATACGGAGCAAAGAGTGTAGAAAATGCAAATCGAGTTTTTGAGAGAACGGAGTATCGGATTTGAATGATCTAAAAAACATTCAATTCGTAATGATTGGGAGAAGAGGTGATTAGTTTTTGGCAAAGACAGGTTCCGTCATTTCGAAGATACAGAGCTAAATGTGCAAAAAATGGCAGTTTTTGAGTGAACTAAGCGTCTGATTTGAATGATCTAAAAAACTTTCTGCTTGTATTGACAAAACAATTGCTTTTGAGGATAAACTAAATATAAATAAATACAAATATAAATATAAATATAAACTAGTGGGGCGCATGGCATCGTGCCTTAAGACAAATTTCTGGAACTTCCCGTACCAAAAATTATTATTTTTTTAAAAAGATTAACATTGTTGAAAATAATTGACTTCGAACAAATTAGATTTTTGAGAAACTATAAATTTGACAAAAAATTACTTTTTTCTTGAAAAAAATTTTTTTTAATTTATTTTGGAAATTTTTATTTCTTTATTTTGACATATTTTGGAAATTCTGAACTTTTTTTCAAAGCAATCGTACTGCTTTAAGCAAACATTATGCATAAAGACGAAATGTCAAAGCGCGTAAGCGCCGCGGCGCCGTGTAAGGTATAAACATTGGTACAGAACCCATAGGAATGTAATCAAAATTTATGCTGATTATTAAAATCTCTGTAAAATATCTGATAATTTGATGTGCATATGTCTAATGATCATTTTTGACCGCCAAATGGCATTTTTTTACTTTTTTCACTAGATCTCTGAAACCGCTAGACCCGCCTTCATGATTAATTCTTCATCTTGTCAATACAAGTAAAATGTTTTTTGAATTATTAAAATCGGACGTTTCGTTCTCTTAAAAACCGAGTTACCATTTTTTGGCACTTTTTGCTCCGTATCTTCGAAATGGCTAGACCTGCCTTTGCCAAAAGCTAATCAGCACGTCTCCTTATCAATACAAATTGAATGTTTTTTGAATTATTCAACTCGCTTCATCCGTGTTCCCGAAATCGTCGACGAAAATTTGTATCCGCACACACGTACATACACGCGCACACACACATACACACACACACATCCATTTTTTCTAAGGTATGCCAAAATGTTTAAAAGGTTTTGAAACGTAAAGATACATAAAAGAAAGAAGGGAAGTTAAAAATTATTACACCTTTTCTTATTTTCCATAAAATATTTTTGTAATTTTGGATTAAAAGTTCAAAAAATTACCCAGGCTAAGCACAGTCTAAGCGCCACTCTGGTACAAATGTTTACCCAAGTGCGTTTAGACTGTTTATATACTGCTGGAGCACTTTTTCAATTTTGTGAAAACTATTGAAAAATGTGAAAATGCCGCCAAGCTAAGCACAGTATAAGTGAAAATATTGCACAGAAATATTTACAAATGCGTTTAGACTGTGACTATACGGGAGCACTTTTTCAATTTTGTGTAAATTAGGCAACTTTTTTTTTAAATTGAATTCGAAATGAAATGACGATTGTTAACGTTCTGGAGATAAATTGATTTATGATTTACATTTGATTTGCTCAGATATAACAAGATAGGAAAAATAATGAAAGTTACAGTATTTGTAATAATATATTTGAAAACGTTTAAAATTTCTCGAATATTTCATTACGGTACGGAAAGTTCCAGCAATTTGCCTTAAGGCACGATGGCATACACCACTAGTTTTGTTTTATTTTTTAGGCATAGTGAACCATCAAGTGGACGCGACTCGAGTTCGTTCTACGCCTTTGGTTCAAGATTTCCACCTCATCCAGCTTTACAAAGAATTGATTCGAGCGAAGAATTGTCTTCGTCGAATTTTGGAGGTCCTGCTCTTGGAGCAGGTTCAGTTTGGAATGGACAACAGTCGCAGCAGCAACTTCTTCTTGGCTCTGTTGATGATCTTCAACGAAAATCTGTTGCTAGACGAAGGAAAGGTGATGCTTGGACTGTTGATAGGAGCTGGGAGTTTGTAGGTAAGAAAATAAACATAACATTATTTTTATTTATTGGTAATAAGAATATACTCTAAGACCAATTTTTTTAGCTCGAGGTGATCTCGAACAAGAAACTCCTTTCGACATGCCAATTACTGGCAATGAAGCCGATTGGTCGAGAATAGGGTTTCCATCAGATCTACATAATGAAGATGATTTGATAGATCCTCCATCTGGGCCTAAAATAACAATCCGAGAGGTAATATATATATATATATATATATATATATATATATATATAATCAATTATTAACTTTCCGAAGGAGAAGTTTATGTTTTCATCAAAAAATCCGACTCGCTAATTTCATGTTTTCTCGACGTTTCAAGCCATTCTGAATCGAATGAGACCAAATTTAAGGAAAAAGTATGTGTGTGTGTGTGTGAACAGATTTTTTGCCGTAAATCGACGTTTTCCCTAAAAACGGCTGGACCGATTTCAAAAATTTAAGCCATTCGATGTATCTTGATGACGACTAGCGTTTCTAAGTTTTGTGCGACGATCGGCCAAACCGTTTTTTTGTAAATCGCAGAAAAGTGAATAATTTTTCGTCTGCGTTTTAGCCAGCAATTCTGATTCGATCTTGAAAATTCAAAAACTGTTCGAAAGATATTGGTTGGGAATCGTGCCGATTAGTTTTTGGTAACGGTCGGCCAGGCCGTTTCCTTGTAATAAAGTTTAAAAAAAAAATTGACCGCTTTTAATGTTTTGTTGTGACTGTAGATATCATAGTCTTGTAGATTATACTAAAATATTAGGGTCGTACGACAAGTCGTTTAATTTTAAAAATTCGTCAAAGTTTGCAAAAATTAGTATCGCTTTTTTCGGCATTTGTCAAAATTGGACCTTTCATCGACGTTTTATCAAAAACGCCTGAACCGATTTCAGAAATTTAAAAGCCATTTGATGTATCTCAATGAGGACTATCGTTTGTCAGTTTTGTGAGACGATCCGCTGAGCCGTTTCTTTGTAATTAAAAAAAAAGAGTTAAACTTTTCGTCCACATTTAGGCTCATGCTACCGAATCGATTTTAAAAATTCAAAAACTGTTCGAAAGATATTAGTTGGGAATGATACTGATTAGTTTTAGGTGAAAATCTACCGAGCCGTTTTCTTGTAATTAACTGTTGAAAAAAAAAATTAAGCCGATTTTAATGGAACTTTTTTTGGCGATGTATATAATATTATGGTCTTATAGAACTTAACTGAAATATTACGGCCTTTCGACAAGTTGTTTCATTTTAAAAATTCATCAAAGTTTGAGAAAATGAGTAGTTTTTTTGACGTTTGTTAAAATACAAATTAGATGATTTATTTTGTATAACGACAGAGTACTTGGTCTTGAACATAGTAAACCATTAAAGTAATATGGAAACTGGATCAATTATAAAAGTTATTGATTTTTGAAAATTTGCTTTTAGAAAATACTTCGAATTAACGTGTTCGTTCGTTCATTTTCAATAATGTGTAATAAATCCACTCGGAATACTTTTAATCACTCATAAATTAATTTATTTTTTATTGATTAAGTCGATTATTTACACATATCGGGAAGTTCATGTAACTTGCCTCAAGGCAAAATACCAATACCAACTAGTTCTGGTTATTGTCTTTTATTAACTTTATTACTTCCACAGATGATTGCAAAACGATTACCCGATCTCGGTTTACCAGAACCAACAATCACAAGTTGCAATAGTTCTGAACAAACCAGTAGAATGTCTGCCTATGATAATGTGGAAGGACGAATTACTTCAGGTATTCTAAAACCTTTCAATTTAAAATGTTTTAAAATGTTTTTTGAGAATCCTGTGATTAACTTGATTTTTTCTATTTTTTAGGTCCATTATCGTCACGAGAAAGTGACGATGGCACTGTCTTCTCCGAGCCTTGGGATTGTTCGAGATGGCAAGGATTATTGTTGGCGAATAATAATAATAATATTGATTCAGAATCAACAACGACAAATGGTCAACAGCAGTCTGTTCAGAAAAGACATGCTACAATTGGTAGAAATAATAGACCTCCGACGTTGGAAAGACCTTGTGCTATGTATGGTAAGTCGAAATAAATTTTTTGTAGATTTATATATATATATATATATATATATATATATATATATGAATTTTTATAAATATATTTTTTAACATGAGAGAAACACTTGAGAAATTTACTATGAAATTTTTTTTCTCATATTTTTATGACTTAACACGCTTTGAAACATAATCCAAAAATGAACAGTTTGTATCTCGAAAGAATGGAGTGTCATTGCGTTTATTCCTTTTTCAGCAAAACGTCTTCTAAATAAATTATCTTCTAGTGTTTTTGTGTTACTGAAGTCGTTTCATTAATTTATCAAAAATTATCTATTTGTATCACGAAAGGATCCAGTATCATTTCGTTTATTTTATTATATAGTTTAATGAAACACTCTTTTGCAAAACGTTTTCTAAATCAATTTTTGTCTTAAGAGTCGGGTTAAATATGTCTATATTGTGTTTTGATGTGTGTATGTGTTCTATTAGCATAGTTTTAAATGGTTTAGGATTTTTGGAATTGTTTTTGTGTTACTGAAATTGTTTTATTAAATTTTGGCTAGTTACACCGATATATATTAAATCACAATCTGAGCAATTAATTTGATTTTCATAGAACAAATTTCTGAGGCGTTTGATATTGGAAGCAATTTTAATACTTTCCAATCTTAGAAATAATTCTGAGTACGTTCTACAGCAATTCTAAATGTATATAAATAAAAACAAAAAAAAGAGTGCGCGTAAGGTTCACACGAGATTGAAGTAAAACTTTTTTGCTACCGTACGAGATGGCATTTAAGTTAAAAATAAATACATCATCAATTTTGAATAATGTTCATCAGTAATATGGTAACACTCCTGATGCATACATTCATTAATGTCAACCATTATACACATTTATATAATGATAAATTATAAATTATATATTTATAATAACGTTAAAAACATGTATGATATTTAAAAACAATAATGTAATTAAAGTCATACTTCAAATTTGACACGATCGGTTTGTTATTGTAATTATCCTATGGAAATAAACCTTTATTAGAGAAATTAAGTATTTGCCAATTAATATATTCTATAATATACGTTCACACTGTGGATTATGTTAAACAACGCCTGAACAAATATTTGAAGAACTTCATGTAATTAAAATTAGCATACATTCATTGACTGCTTGTATTTTTTTTTCGCTGGCGATATAATCTCATTCTTTGAACAGCTGTAATATCTGTCTTGCCTTAAAAAATATTTTCTATTTTAATAACTTCAAAAAATTATAGAAACTACGAATAATATAGAAATTATTTCAATAAACTTACGTTTAGTACACGGCACAAATATCTTATTGTTTTATTATGTTCATTATAATTATTTGCGGGGAGCAGGGTAAAATATTCTTCTGATTCAGGCATTTTTATTATCGGGTATCCAAAATTTTTTTTAATCAAATGTATAATTATTTGTATTAAATCTACGTCGCTATCTATCTATTACCATTTTGCGTTTAAATCTATCAAACCGATTTAAACTAGTTCATCGTACAAATATCAAAACGAAAAATATTTATTAGGACAAAAGTTAATTAAATGCACAAAATATTTCGTAGAATCCAAATTTTGTTATCTATAACGCGTCGTTTTGCTCTTAAAATTGAAACCGTGAGAAAATGATGATAAATTTATATAATTCTTTTTGAATGTGTGTAAGGAGCAGATTATTTCGTTTGGTTAACAAAAATTAGTCATGAGGCATAATTGTAGAGCAGAGAAGAAATTTAAATAAACTAGTTGGTATTGGTATTTTGCCTTGAGGCAAGTTATATGAACTTCCCGATATGTGTAAATAATCGACTTAATCAATAAAAAATTAATTAATTTATGAGTGATTAAAAGTATTCCGAGTGGATTCATTACACATAATTGAAAACGAACGAACATGTTAACTCGGAGTATTTTCTAAAAGCAAATTTTCAAAAAACGTTAATTTTTATACTTGAATTAGTTTCCATAGGACTTTAATGATTTGGTATGTTCATTAAGACCAATCACTCTATCGTTATACCAAATAAATCGTCTAATTTTAATTTTGACAAACGTCAAATATACTACTCATTTTCTCAAACTTTGATGAATTTTGAAATTTGGTCTCATTCGATTCAGAATGGCTTGAAACGTCGAGAAAACATAAAATTAGCGAGTCCAATTTTTTTATGAAAACAAACTTTTTCTTCGGGAAGTTAAAAATTCAAACTAGCAAATCATATATTCTAGCTAGTAAAATTAACATTTCTTTAGGAAAGTCAATAATTTCTTCCACCAACTTTCATACTAAATTTCAAAATAAATTTGTCTTCAGATAAACGCAACAATAATTATTTATCATCACATTAGAAGTCCGTCTGTCCGCCTGTCTGTCTCTAAATTTTATGCGCATTTATAAATTATCTACTTAATTGATTATTTTATATACTTTTCTATCTACGATAATTATTGTTTTATCTTGTCGATTAATAATAATAGTTTATATAAATTCTTGTGTGGGAAATTTGTTTAAAATTCACATACTGATTAATATTGTAGTTAGTGAATCATATCGAATTGAATTGTTTACCGGCGTGGGATTTGTTAATGCAAATAAAATTTATTGTGATAATTTTTCAATATGTTCATTCAATTAATAGTAGGTAGTGGGTTTTGCAAACATTCTTTTGTTTTAAGAGATACGATATCGGTTAGGAGAATTTTGAAAGAAAATTGTACCGTGAGATGATTTGATTTCAAGCTTTACCATGAGGCAATTTTTAGGGTTTAGTGTTCAAAATCTCTCTAGAAATTTCAAATAATATTTTTGAGTTTGATAATTAATGAATTGCGCTTTAGGAACTAATTTTGTTTAAATCAAACTTCAACTAAAATTTCAATATAAGTTTCAATTCATATAGTTAGAAAACGATTACCTGTTTTTAAAAAATAGATTGTGTTAAATTTTTCGAGCTTACCACTTAGATTCACATTATGAATTTTATATTTTGCATCTAAAAGCCATAATTTAAATCGAGTTTTACACAAATAACTATTTTCTTTTTCATTCGATAGTTCTATTTTGTGTAAGAAAAAAATTGAAAATTCAATGCATGAAATTATTTTAACAAACGAATAATTTTATATTACAACAATAGATTTTGAGCATAACATAATGCTAAATGATGAAAATTAGATAAATTTTAGAAAATTCTTATAAAAATGGATTTTATAATAATTGTATGGCAGATAGAAGATATTTGTCCATGTAAAATTCAAAAAAAATCAGTAATAATATAAAATGAATGATAATAATACTAATAATAAATATTAATTAAAAATATGATAACCCTTAATTAGTTTTCACTAAATTTATCTACACAAAAAAAAATTCACCTATGTTCACCTAAAAAACTTTCTTTTTTTATTCGATAGTTTTATTTCTTCTAAGAAAAAAATTAAAGAATGAACTCATTTTAACAAACAAAAAGTTTGCTTATTTTAACAAACGAAATGCAACAAATGATTTTGATCGTAACATAATGCAAAATTATGAAAATTAGATGAATTTTGGAAAATTCAAACTGTGAATTTTAATAACAAATGGATTTTTTAATAATTTTATTGCTGCTATATTTCTCCATGTAATTTTCAGTTAAAATATTTTATATGAGCCATGTTGAATAATAATAAATATTAATTAAAAGTATGAGATCTTTAATATAAATACTAATTATTTTAGAATTACTTCATGCACTAAAAAAATACAGAAATAATCAAGAAATATTCTTTAAAAAATTTCAAATTTAGATCAATATTAATATCAATTATTTTGCTAATATTTAGTATAACATTTGTTCTACTATTCCAAATTATTTTAGGTTAAAGTTTTATGTAAAATTCGTTTAGTTTAATTTTTAACTACCAGACATTTCGGTCTTTTATAAATATATTATTTACCAGGAAAATTTTCTTTTCTAAAAATTGGACCAAATGTAATAATTATTTCGTGAATTTGTCCAATGTCCAATTTTTGTTCAATTTAAATATTAAAGCAGCTATATCAAAGTTTAATATGAAAAACCAAGATTATTCAATGTTATATCATTACATAAATTCAATGCTATATTTTTTACATAAATTTATAATAGTTTTCAAAAAGTAGATCGTCTTATATTAATACAATTATTTTGTAATCTAATGAGCGCTAGAAAAATTTGAAAATTGTTATATAACACTTGAAGATCCTTAGATTTTTTACATATACTTCACTTCTGCATTTTTCACAAAAATACAGTGATCAAATAAGATAGATATATTATCCAAACATACTTATCCAAAATAGATCATATTATATTGATCACCTTGCAAACTAGTTAGGTTTAGAAAATTTTCTAATTAAATCTAAATCTAACTTTTATGTTTTTTAATACCACTTAGATCTTTTACAAACACTCCATTCTCCAGAAAATTTTTAGATTTATCAAACAAGAGACAATGATTATTTTATAAGCACTTATCCAAAATTGGAACATCTTGCATTTATCTCTTTATGAACTACTTATTAGTCCTAGAAAATTTTTGCTATTACTCCCAATTTGATTACTGTAGCAAATGTGATGAAAATAATCCAATTAAAACCCTTTATATTGTATGTAAGCGTTCTGATTTTTAAAATTGTTTTGTGATTTTGGACTCGTTTTATTAAATTTTAATAATTTTCCATTCTAATTTTGATACAGAATGACTTGAAACTTCGAAAAAAATTCAAAGTTTGCAATTTGTTATTTATATGAAACACAAATATCCTACTCTATTTCTTTTATAAATTCAACATTTTCTGAAAATATCCAGAAGCGAACAAATCTTATCCAATATAGTCAGCAGTTCTATTCGGAAAGTCATTTGCAACTTATATAATCTGATCTAAATTAAACTTTCTTGATCTTTTTTTGCTAAAACTTCTACAAAAACAATATTTTCTAGAAAAATACAGTT